CGGCTCCTGTGAACGGGCGGGACCCTGGAAGGACGAACGCCCAAAGCGAAAGGGGCCAGAGGAGCGAGACCGTGTAAGAAACGCCAGCCTTATTGTGTCAGAGGATTCGGAGAATGAATGAAGGAGACCGGGGGAAGCATTAAGGATCGTTAATACGAATATTAACGAGTGGAGGCACTGGGTTGAGCGTCATCATCCAAGGTCAGATGATGCTTGGGGCTTACAGAGGCCCCAGGCAGCAGCAGGGGTTGAAGATCGCATGCTCCCTTCGTGCAGAAGCGTGGGGACGTGTAGGAGCTCAGCCTGGCACCAGAGCTTGAAGGACCAGTCCCTCCGTCGTGGCTCCGGAGGTGAAGCATCCCACGTGGGGTCACGCCAACGGGAATCCTGGTGACGGGCAGCACCGTCTGCTCGCCGCAAAGAGGATTAAACATCTGCACGGGGGCTGGAGGTGACACCGGCACCCCAGGAGAAGGTCTGCTGCAGACAGGACTGCCTTGGTTTTCTTGAAGATCTCAAGGGTTGAGACCTTTTAGCTTGAAAAATCCATGGTTTCGTGCGAAGAGTGGAAGGGAGGGGTCGCGTGCACGCAGCTCCTGGCACGACGTCACCTTCCACGCGTGCCATGGGACAACCAGCTCTCCTCCGGGACCGCGCTCGATCGGCCCAGGTGCCATCTCCCACCCCTTGCCATCAGCCCGAGGCCTCATCACGCAGCTCAGAGGGTCTCCTGGGCTGGCACAGGACCTCTCCGTGGCCCCAGGATAGTTTCATGTTGTGTTTGAAGACTCATTCTGAAAAACGCAGTGATGCACCCAAAACCAGGAGAGGGGTGGCTGGGCTACCCAGGTCTCCCGTGGAAACCCGTGGCCTCTTGTGTTTCCCTCTCAGGGTGTAAGGCGAGGTCTCATCTCTAACTCCAGAAGTCCTCTGTGGAGGTATCTCCACCTGAGCTGGTTCCTCAGATCTTCAGAGTTGGAGAAGATCTGGGCCAAGGAGTCTGAGCCACAAAACATCTCCAAGATACAGGTGACCACTTGTAGGGTCTCATGCTCCAGTCTACCCCATGGTGACCACCCAGAGAGCCCGGGTGACCAGCTCAAAGGCAGATCTGGCGCATGGAACAACCCTCTGGTCCAATGGCCTCATCACAGATATCTCCAGCATCCGCCAGAGCTTCTGATCAAGCTCTCTGGGACTGGATTTAGTTGTCTAGTGCTCTGCCGGGTGTAGGACGTCCTGCGAGCTTCTCAAAGGTTGTCTTAGCGAGGTCCATCACCTTGGGACCGGCGAGACCAGCCCCAGCTCAGCGCGCAGTTGTTGGAAGGTGCCTTCATCACCGCAGCACCAGCTCCAGCAGAGATGACAGGATTTCGCTAAGTTCCCCCCTTTCCGCACAGACCTCCAGGATGGAGGCGACCTCTGCGCTATGAGGGAGGTGGAGAAGCTGGGCTGAGCCTCCAGACACAGCCACGGGAAGGCCTGGCTTAACCCCAGGGCTGCAGAGGGGAGAAGCCCTTCCCCGCCCCTGCGTGACCACGCGGCTCCTGGTTTGCCTCCCCGAGTCTTTGGCGGGGTGGCGACCACCCAACCTCTGCCTGTTGGCCCCATGTGGCTCCTTGACTTCATGTTCCTCCATCCCGGTGGCCATCCGTGGCACCTTCCCCACCGTCGCCCATCCCAACCCAAACTCTAAACTTAGGCTTAACCCAAACTGTAACCCTAAATTTAATTCTAACCCTAACCTAAACCCTAACTCTAGCTCTAAACCTAACACTAAAGCTAACCCAAAATCTAACCCTAACGCTAGTCCTAATCCCAACACTAACTCAAATGCTAAACCTAACCCCAACCCAAAGCCTAACCCTAAACCTAATGCTAGTCCTAACCCAACCCAAAGCCTAACTGTAACCCTAATACTAGTCTTAATCCCAACACTAAACCAAATGCCAAACGTAACCCTCACCCCAACCCAAAGACTAACTCTAACCCCAACCCAAAGCCCAGCCCTAACCCTCATGCTAGTCCTAATCCCAACACTAACCCAAATGCTAAACCTGATCCTAACCCCAACCCAAAGCCTAACCCTAATGCTAGGCCTAAGCCTAAGGCTAACCTAAATGCTAAACCTAATCCTAACCACAACCCAAAGCCTAATCCTAACCCAGCCCTTGTCCTAACCCCAACCTCAACCCGAATGCTAGTCCTAATCCCAACACTAATCCAAACAATAAATCTAACCCTAACCCCAACCTAAAGCCTAACTCTAATGCTAGTCCTAATCCCAAAACTAACCCAAATCCTAAACCCAATCCTAACCACAACCCAAAGCCTAATCCTACTCCTAACACTAGTCCGAACCCTAACCCCAACCCAAAGCCTAACCCTAACTGTAATGCTCGTCCTAATCCAAACACCAACCCAAATGCTAAACCTAACCCTAGCTCTAATGCTAGTCCTAACCCTAATCCCAACCCAAAGCCTAGCCCTAACCCTAATGCTAGTTCTAATCCCAACACTAAACCTAATCCTAGCCCCAACCCAAAGCCTAACCCCAATGCTAGCCCTAATCCCAACACTAACCTAAGCCTAACCTAAGCCTAACCCTGACCCTCACCCCCCGCTGTCCCCCCTCGCCCCCCGGGGGGGACCCAGGCGCCCGTGCACTGAGCCTCGCACGAGCCCCCAGCCCTCGTGCAAATGCCGAGGACAGGGCGGGCACACGCGTGTGCAAATGCCGCCCCCCCACACTACGCGTCCCCAGTTCACACCCAGCCCCGGGGCCCCACACAATGCGTGGGGCAGGGGGTGTGTGAGGGGCGGGCAAGTGTGCAAGGCCAGGAAGAGCCGTGCAAGGGGGTGTGCAAGGGGCTTGCGAGGGATGTGCAAGGCTGTGGCCGTGCCAGGGGGTGTGCAAGGCTGCGAAGAGCCGTGTAAGGGGGTGCGCAGGGCTGTAACTGTGCAAGGGGGTGTGCAAGGCTGGGAAGAGCTGTGCAAGGGGGTGTGCAAGGGGCGTGCAGGGCTGCAACTATGCGAGGGGGCGTGCAAGGCTGGGAAGAGCTGTGCAAGGGGGCGTGCAAGGGGTGTGCAGGGCTGTAGCCGTGTCAGGGGGCATGCAAGGCTGGGAAGAGCTGTGCAAGGGGGTGTGCAAGGGGCGTGCAGGGCTGCAACTGTGCGAGGGGGCGTGCAAGGCTGCAGATGTGCAAGGGGGCGTGCAAGGCTGGGAAGAGCTGTGCAAGGGGCTTGCAAGGGATCTGCAAGGCTGTGGCCGTGCCAGAGGGTGTGCAAGGCTGGGAAGAGCTGTGCAAGGGGGCGTGCAAGAGGCGTGCAGGGCTGTAACTGTGCAAGGGAGTGTGCAAGGCTGCAAAGAGCCGCGTAAGGGGGGGTGCAAGGGGCTTGCGAGGGATGTGCAAGGCTGCAGATGTGCAAGGGGGCGTGCAAGGCTGTAACTGTGCAAGGAGGCGTGCGAGGCCAGGAAGAACGGTGTGAGGGGTGTGCAAGGGGGGTGTGCAAGGGGTATATGAGGGGTGTGCGGGGTGTTGTGTAAGGGAGTTGTGCAAGGGGTGCGCAAGGGGGTTGTGCAAGGGGGCATGTGAAGGGTGTGCAAGGGGTGTGCAAGGCCATGGATGTTCAAGGGGGTGTGCGAGGCCAGGACGAGCCGCGTGAGGGGCGTGCGAGGGGCTGGTGTGAGGGGTGTGCGAGGGGGTTGTGTGAGGGGTGTGCACAAGGGGCGTGCGAGAGGGTGTGCGAGGTGGTGAGGGGTGTGCCAGGGGTGTGCACGAGGGGTGTGCACGAGGGGCGTGCGAGGGGGTGGCGTGAGGGGCGCGCGAGGGGTGTGCGGGGTGGTGAGGGGTGTGCGAGGGGGTGGTGTGCAAGGTGTGCACGAGGGGCGTGCGAGGCCCGGTTCCGCTGCCCCGAGCTGAGCCCGCCCCCGCGCCCCCCCCAGCCGCGACCACGCC